CAGACTTTGCAACCCTTTTACGCATTAAGCAAGATGAAAACGAAAACGATGCCATCCGAAATCGGATTTCCGGCATTGACTCAACCAAAAACCCAATAAACAAACTAGCCATGAATAACAGAAGACTCCTGATAGCAGCTGAATTTCATTTTGTACATCCAGTGAAAAAAGAAAGTTAAAAACATCACAAGATGACACAAAACTCTGTCAGCTTCAGCTGTCAAAGTAAACAACTTTCAAGATGCGGCATAAATTTTCCGCATGAACTCACCTGTCAAATTTTGACCAATCAGAGCATAAAAATTGGACATAGAGCGTGACCAACGCGTGAACATGGCGAGAAAAGTCAAAAGCAACTGTCTTCCCTGCCTCTAGCAGCTGGCTGAATTTTTGCGTCCGAGGTCAGTTTGAAGTCAAAATTTTAATTGTGCGGCACATAAACACAACATATTTCATATGAATTTTAAAAAAAATTAAACTTGAGCCTGCGATCATTTGAAAACCAGTACCTTGTCAAAGGATAACTTCAAAAAAACACTTGACCTCGATGGGTCGACACCTAAGCCCGCGATACAGTCAAGTGATACTGGTCAGCGGATACCTTGTTTTGACAGGTGTCAATGGATCACAACATTGATGTGTATCACTTTCCTGTGCTCCGATCCCAAACTAGCAAGGAAGTATGAGACTGAACATTGATCGCAATCTAGTAAAATAATTAACTGCTCAGCGGACAGCTTCCAAATAAATCACGTCGCCTCAATGAGTTGGCACATGAGCCCGCGATATGGTCATGGGATACTGGTCAGTGGCTATCCTGCTTTGACAGCTGTCACTTGACCATATTGTGAATGTCCAATGTAAAAAATGTGGACTTGGCAAGACACGCCTGAGACACCCCTCTCTTCCTTTTGATAGTCTCCCCTACCCCACCAATACAATCCGTAGACGCGTACGTACGTACGCGTGGTCAATCACGTGACAACCAAAGGAAAAGAGGTTGACCATAACCTATGGGTATGGGGCTCTGTCCCACGCGCGCTTCCCGCGCGTGGGAGCCACGCTATAAGTCTTTCGAGAACACGTACCTTCACGAAGCTCAGTCAGTTGTTGAGAGGGCTTGCGTCCTGTTTCTAAGGAGGTCTGGGCCTTTAAAGAGTCATCTGTTAAATTTAATGGCAAACATACAGTCTAGTTGGGGTGATTATGAATGTACGGAATACAACTGCTGCAAATAAAGCATATAAAAGAATGAAATGGTTATGGCCTCCTTCTATAGACTATACTCCTTTTACCTGCCTTATGTACGTAAACTAGCCTATCAATCAGGACTGTTAACAACTGCAAGCATCATGTGCATAAACTAATTTAATCTATATAGTTCTCTGTGTGTGAATACACAAACATGATTTTGGTCTATGTTTGTTTTGAATTTTTCCTATCATTTTTTTTTATTATAGATCGGTATAATTTTTTTTTACCAAAGGGACGATAATTCCTATTCATACCATAAGTCCAGGTGATCATTTTTGCAACAAGATCTTTCATCTGCCTCGCCCAGTTGTATTTTTTCTCATAAGAATAACGTAAGGTTTCCGCTTCCTCAAGTAGACGTTCTCTATCCTTTTCCCACATTTTCGTGATCTCTGCGGTCCAAACATTAGGATCCTCTGAGTTTACTACAAAGGACGAACCAAATGGTACACTGCACAGTGCTTCTCCAAAACCCGAATTGCCACTGACAAGCACAGGGACACCAGCTGAAAGAGCCTCAAGACCTGTCAACCCAAAGCCCTCTGTTCTTGAAGGCATGACAACAAGATCCACTTCTTGAAACAAGCGGCTTAGACTCTCTCGATCTTTAACAAATCCTCTTAATACTCTCAAGCGAAGTGGAGGGACACCACATTCGGTCAACCGTTCTGCTATTTCTTCGTGTTTTCCATCTCGAGCACCAACAAACAGAAGACGAGTATCTTGTAATGCAGCGACCGCTTTTCCAGCGATGTCAAATCCCTTTAGTTCGAAATCCTCTGCGTACCCACGACCAAACGCCAACACAGTGCGCTGTTGCCTTTCGCTAGGAACCTGCTTCACAGCCGCAAATTCTTCAAATACTCCCGGAGTGAAGTCAACAACATTGTCATCTTTTTTGAAGCTGCGGAGATAGGAGCGAAAGGCCTCACTCAACTTCCAACCAACCCCAACAACATGATCCGCCATTTCACACAGCTTTACTTCGGTCGTGTGCTTTATCTCGCCTTTTGAAATTGGATCTGAATAGTTTTTGAACATTCCAAGATCCTCTGGATCTGTGTGCACCACTTGAACCCATTTGCACCTTTTACGTCTTTGAATGATTTGTGCCTGTTTACCGAGTTTAACTCCATGACCTACGATAATGTCGATTTGCAAATCTTCAGGCGGAAAACAAAGCCAGTCCAGTTGCTCAAAGCCAAGCAGTGGTGTTGCCTTAACGATCTTTACGTTATGCTTCAGGGCTACTTTCCTGTCCTCTTCACTGCACTGTGGTACAAAGAAAGTGATTTCCACTTCAGGGCATTTGGCCAACTGAATGGCTAACTCTCTGTTTATGGTGGAAAGTCCCCATTCAGAAGCCAAAATAGTGACTTTTACTTTGCGAGATGCGTACAACCATTCTGTTGAAAGAAAACACTGCTGTTGATGACAAATTAAACGTCAAATTGTTTAGTCACAGACACATGTGGGACACCTTAAAAAACAACTCTTTCACTCAAGGGAGGAGCAATCAAACCCCGTTTTACAGAGTCGGACACCCGCTTAAAACAGACACCTCATTATTACGGACAATTTGCTGTGTCCCTGGGGAGAGAAATCCGCTACATTTTTCTAAATTAAACGCGCTTAATACGGATACCCCGCTAATACGGGCAGGTTCTATGGCCCTCTCAGATTAGACTTTCTAATCTCGGTGAAGCTAACATGTACTGCATGAGGAAGCAGTAATTAAGACCCTGTGAAATATGTGAAAGTCAGATATTGTTATGGGTTTGAAATATTAGTCAAGTGAAACACCAAGTGAAACGTAATTAGCTGGGTTAAAAGAGTCATGTGAAATAACATGTGACGCAAATAAGAGGTTCCATATTAGAAGTGAAGTGCTGAACCGTGTATAAAGATCAAAGGGTTGGACCGGTAATAAATAATCTATTGTAACTCAGTTGTGGATAACACATGGTTTTCAAGATCGTAATATTCTCGGATAAAATGTTGGCCGCCTTTTTTCCTTCGCTGCATAGGGTGATACGCGGCGGCGACTTAGAACTGCTAAGAAAATCGCAAAAATTCTTCCAAACTTGCTCATGAGGAGCCGATTATAATGAATTATGCGTGTGCTTTTAGCCAATCAGAATCCGGGGAATATTTTGAATGAATAATAATATCAATTATTGATTCATTGGAAGAACTTTGACAAATATATATATGATCTTTTATACGCTGCCTTGAAGTAGGTGAAACTATATTCCAGAATTTTCCTTAAAACCCTACTTTGCTGCGCACAGTATTTAGAAATAAACTGATCTGGTTGCACGGATCTGGTTAGCAGTAGAGTTCTCGTTAACAATGGGTTGGTCTGGCCGACCAGTCCTGACTAATGGAAACCGTGTCTTGATAGCAAGCCAGATTTAATAGACCAAATTCCATCAAATAAAAAGTCGCGTAAGAAATGTATCATTCATTCCTGAATCTTAAACCGTTTTTAATGATAGCTTACGTATTTTCTATCCGCGTGATATCAACCTTAACCTGCAGGTGTAGGTGCCCAAAAGGAAAGATTGGGGAGGAAACTCGCACACACGGACTGTCTCAGTGCGCCTGATATCTCCTGTTTCTCTCTCCTTCCCGTCCAGATATTTAAGCGCATATCAAGCAGGATATACACTACAAACCCTAAACGTTGTTCTTAAATTAACGGAGAAGGAGTTGAAGTGCAAGAGGACCAAAATCAAAGAAATATAAAAATAAAGAAAATGGCGAAAGTTTTTATACATATGTAAACGTATGACATAAGGACATAACCTTAAGACTTTCAAATGATGTTGACCATTTTCTGAAAAGAAAAAAACCTATATCTCGGGCAAAATTATTCACATTTGCAGTCTTAATTATCTTTCTACAGTCGTTCGAAAACATGTACCTTCGACAAGCTCAGTCTGTTGCTGAGAAGCCTTGCGTTTTGTTTCTACAGAGCTCTGGGCCTTTAAAGAGTCATCTGTTGAATTAAATGGAAAAATACAGTCTAGTAGGGTAAATAAAATAACATACTCTTTCCTCGGCAATATTATACACAATTCCTGCACTCCTGTGAACAAAGCACCAACTCGAGGCTCGGATAGACAAATCACAAAGATCTGTATAAAATTATCCACACGAGACTCGACTTTGTTGTATTATGCGTATTAGCTGGAGTGGAATGTAGGTAAGGTCTATTCACGTTTACATTCTACATTACAATTTATGAGTCTTTCGAGAACACGCACCTTCACGAAGCTCAGTCAGTTGTTGAGAGGGCTTGCGTTCTGTTTCTAAGGAGGTCTGGGCCTTTAAAGAGTCATCTGTTAAATTTAATGGAAAAATACAGTCTAGTTGGGGTGATTATGAATGTACGGAATACAACTGCTCCAAATAAAGCATATAAAAGAATGAAATAGTTATGGCCTCCTTCTATAGACTATACTCCTTTTAATGACAGTAGCCGAAATTAAACCATTACGTTTTCTCTCGTTATCTGCCTTATGTACGTAAACTAGCCTATCAATCAGGACTGTTAACAACTGCAAGCATCAGGTGCATAAACTAATTTAATCTATATAGTTCTCTGTGTGTTAATACCCAAACATGATTTTGGTCTATGTTTGTTTTGAATTTTTCCTATCATTTTTTTTTTGGTTATAGGCCGGTATATATTTCTTTTTACCAAAGAGACGATAATTCCTATTCATACCATAAGTCCAGGTGATCATTTTTGCAACAAGATCTTTCATCTGCCTCGCCCAGTTGTATTTTTTCTCATAAGAATGACGTAAGGTTTCCGCTTCCTCAAGTAGACTTTCTCTATCCTTTGCCCACATTTTCGTGATCTCTGCGGTCCAAACATTAGGATCCTCTGAGTTTACTACAAAGGACGAACCAAATGGTACACTGCACAGTGCTTCTCCAAAACCCGAATTGCCACTGACAAGCACAGGGACACCAGCTGAAAGAGCCTCAAGACCTGTCAACCCAAAGCCCTCTGTTCTTGAAGGCATGACAACAAGATCCACTTCTTGAAACAAGCGGCTTAGACTCTCTCGATCTTTAACAAATCCTCTTAATACTCTCAAGCGAAGTGGAGGGACACCACATTCGGTCAACCGTTCTGCTATTTCTTCGTGTTTTCCATCTCGAGCACCAACAAACAGAAGACGAGTATCTTGTAATGCAGCGACCGCTTTTCCAGCGATGTCAAATCCCTTTAGTTCGAAATCCTCTGCGTACCCACGACCAAACGCCAACACAGTGCGCTGTTGCCTTTCGCTAGGAACCTGCTTCACAGCCGCAAATTCTTCAAATACTCCCGGAGTGAAGTCAACAACATTGTCATCTTTTTTGAAGCTGCGGAGATAGGAGCGAAAGGCCTCACTCAACTTCCAACCAACCCCAACAACATGATCCGCCATTTCACACAGCTTTACTTCGGTCGTGTGCTTTATCTCGCCTTTTGAAATTGGATCTGAATAGTTTTTGAACATTCCAAGATCCTCTGGATCTGTGTGCACCACTTGAACCCATTTGCACCTTTTACGTCTTTGAATGATTTGTGCCTGTTTACCGAGTTTAACTCCATGACCTACGATAATGTCGATTTGCAAATCTTCAGGCGGAAAACAAAGCCAGTCCAGTTGCTCAAAGCCAAGCAGTGGTGTTGCCTTAACGATCTTTACGTTATGCTTCAGGGCTACTTTCCTGTCCTCTTCACTGCACTGTGGTACAAAGAAAGTGATTTCCACTTCAGGGCATTTGGCCAACTGAATGGCTAACTCTCTGTTTATGGTGGAAAGTCCCCATTCAGAAGCCAAAATAGTGACTTTTACTTTGCGAGATGCGTACAACCATTCTGTTGAAAGAAAACACTGCTGTTGATGACAAATTAAACGTCAAATTGTTTAGTCACAGACACATGTGGGACACCTTAAAAAACAACTCTTTCACTCAAGGGAGGAGCAATCAAACCCCGTTTTACAGAGTCGGACACCCGCTTAAAACAGACACCTCATTATTACGGACAATTTGCTGTGTCCCTGGGGAGAGAAATCCGCTACATTTTTCTAAATTAAACGCGCTTAATACGGATACCCCGCTAATACGGGCAGGTTCTATGGCCCTCTCAGATTAGACTTTCTAATCTCGGTGAAGCTAACATGTACTGCATGAGGAAGCAGTAATTAAGACCCTGTGAAATATGTGAAAGTCAGATATTGTTATGGGTTTGAAATATTAGTCAAGTGAAACACCAAGTGAAACGTAATTAGCTGGGTTAAAAGAGTCATGTGAAATAACATGTGANAGGGCTACTTTCCTGTCCTCTTCACTGCACTGTGGTACAAAGAAAGTGATTTCCACTTCAGGGCATTTGGCCAACTGAATGGCTAACTCTCTGTTTATGGTGGAAAGTCCCCATTCAGAAGCCAAAATAGTGACTTTTACTTTGCGAGATGCGTACAACCATTCTGTTGAAAGAAAACACTGCTGTTGATGACAAATTAAACGTCAAATTGTTTAGTCACAGACACATGTGGGACACCTTAAAAAACAACTCTTTCACTCAAGGGAGGAGCAATCAAACCCCGTTTTACAGAGTCGGACACCCGCTTAAAACAGACACCTCATTATTACGGACAATTTGCTGTGTCCCTGGGGAGAGAAATCCGCTACATTTTTCTAAATTAAACGCGCTTAATACGGATACCCCGCTAATACGGGCAGGTTCTATGGCCCTCTCAGATTAGACTTTCTAATCTCGGTGAAGCTAACATGTACTGCATGAGGAAGCAGTAATTAAGACCCTGTGAAATATGTGAAAGTCAGATATTGTTATGGGTTTGAAATATTAGTCAAGTGAAACACCAAGTGAAACGTAATTAGCTGGGTTAAAAGAGTCATGTGAAATAACATGTGAAGCAAATAAGAGGTTCCATATTGGAAGTGAAGTGCTGAACAACAAAGTAGACTTTTGTCTGATTGGCTGTTTGAATCTTTAGTGTTCAGTCTTCTTACAGCGCGCAAGAGAGTAGACAAAGTTGGCTGCCAATGAGAAAATGTCTTGTAGTTTTTCTTCGATCGTTCGTTCCTCCAAGAATTTCTGGCAAGAGTTGTTGATTTTCATATCACAAATAGCGGGAAGGGTTTTGAAGGACTGTTTTAATCGACAGGGTGTTTTTTCCTTGGCCTATGAAAGAGGACTTCCTTGAAAATCGACAGAGGACAATTTTTTGCAACGTGACGATGCCTAATTGTAAAGCTTGTTGAATGTTGGCCAAAAGTGCGCAAAAAAAAAAGGTACATCAGCTGAAAAGGAATTTTTATGTACGAAATGCTACAGTAATGTTCGGAAGGAGAACGGCATGTCTTTTACGCAAGAGGAAACACTCCAGAGTGGTGCGCTCGAAGTCGGACCAACTCGATCAAACGTCGCGTCCTAGAGCCGAAAGAGAAACAGGTAAGCTTTCAAATAGGCAGACACAAAAAGCTACAACAATGAATCCGAATTTATTACTTACCACACAGCAAAACTGATGGTTTTCTTTATGTGTGAAAGAGTCGACCCGGCCCAAGTTTTGTACCTGCCCTTTTTAGCATTCGTCCCTTGCATAGTGTGCTGTTCTTTTCTAAAAGCTGTTGAATTTTATTTGAGTTTGAATTGGTTTCTCTGTTTGTTACCAGGTGGTGAATTACCGGCTGCACATTCAAAGATGCATGTAGCGACGCAGAGACTGCAAAGCACGATTTTCTTGGCTTTACACCCCTCACCCACGCACTTCTAGTGTTGTAATAATTTACAATATTGTTTTGTTCACAACAAAAACAGAGACTTGTTGTCAGTAGATGTATAACTGAGTGCTTACTCAAAGAGATGCAACCAGTTGTAAATATTTATGCTAAAGGAGAAACCCAAAATGAACTGCCGTTTTTCAGCAATAAAAAATAATTGTCATTAGGTTGTCAGTCGTAAGGTCAGCTGTTCTTTGTTTTTTGAATCCTTGATCAGTACAAGATTCATTAAATGAATAAAACATGTTAACTCATGCTACTCCCTCCTGACCTCACCAATAAAAGTTCTGGCTAAAAAAGCAATGAAACATGCACATTTAAAATCAAGAAAGACCAATAACTACCCCTACAAGTTTTTTTCTTGACTTTGACAAAGAAGCCAGCCTGCTTGCATTTTTCTTGTGAATTTTAGCTATGTTTGGATTTCAGAAGTGAGTGTTTAAAGCCGGGGGGAAGGGGGGTTGTCCCAGGGTTGTCAAATATTTGACCCCTGCGATGCACAGAATTTGCTAGTTCCCAGCAAGGTTCCAAGTTGCTAGAATTGACTGATATAAAACCATATGTTTACAATTATTTCCCTTACAATTAGGAAGAGACATTAACCTTGAGGCATGTATAATTGAACCTTACTGTGATGTACATGTATTCATTTGATATGTTAGTTTCAGTAAAAATAATCACAGTATTGTTTTCAACTATTATGTTTGTTCAAATTGAGTAAAGGCCATTATTATATTGTTATTCAGACCTTTCATTAAATATAGTACTGTGCAATGAGTTTTCATGGCTTTAATGGAAAGCAATCACATCATCTAACATTTTTGAATAGTGTAAGTTAAGGGCTTGAGGCAAAGGAAACAGAACATCATGGGCATCTTATGACCCTAACCCTGCTGACCCTGTTAATGGTTAATTTCCCTTGTTTCAGTTTGTAATAAAAACCCTGTCTATTTAAAGACAGGTAAGAAGGTGCAATTGAAGTAACCTTGTTGTTCGTGATAAAAACACTGGGAAATTTTAGACTTGGTTAGCTTCAAATAGATTTCCTTGAAAGGAAAACAACACTCCCATTTTTGTTACCTGCAGTGAAGTATTTAAAACATTGCTAGTTCATAGGTCAATTAAGGCCAAACAGGGTGACCAGCCATTCTCAGCAAATTGGGCAACCACACAACTACAGCATTTTGTTTGTTTATCACGTATGGACATGAACAAAAATTCATAATAAGAGTGAAACTTCAGCCTCTTCATCTGCTTACAATGGAGCAGGTGGCTAAAATTCAAGTTATGAAAAAGCATGTAAACAAATGTTTGAAAAACATTTTGAATAATGTATTATTAGGCATCACTAAACAAATGTTGGAAATTTTGACACAGTAATAATGTTGTGTTGTGTCAATAAATAGAGAACTTTGTTTGTGTGTCTTATAGAAAAGAGAGGGTTACAATAAATATATGAATTTGGTAGAATTGCAGAAAAGTTGAGCTTGTAAGAAAACAACTGGTACAGCTTTTTACTTTTTTTGAAAAATTATCCAGGACAGGACAATGAAAGTAAAAAATATGGGTGATTCCATGTTGCGGACATTACATTCAGATACTAAAATTAACATTTTAAACCCAAATTTAAATGTCAAAATGTTCAACAAGGGTGTTCAAACATATCTAGAAAGTAACTTTAGTGTTCCCTTTGTACCTAATAAAAAGATGCTTTAGTGAGCTCTCACGACCTTGAAGATATGAGTTGAGGAAACTGTTTAAAGTAACTTTTGTTAAAGATATTTTCCTGTGAATTTTTAACCTTGAACAGAGAATAATTGTGCCTTCAAAACACGGTAATAATTAAATTTTTTAACCATCAAAAAAAATTCCATGCAACCTCGTTCCAATGATTCTACAAACAAAAGTTTGTGTTGCGGACATTACATAAAAATGTCGCGGACATTACATTTTTGGGAACATATTTTCTATCATTCACTTTCTAGTCAGTGTTGCTCACTGTGGCTATGTCAATTTTTTCTGTAGTTACTTGTCTTAAAATGAAGCTGTGAAATTATTATTTACTTTATTTAATATGTTCTATTATAATACATGTATTATATAATCTCCTGCTGACCTAGTATCATGCAATACCAGTCAGATTTTTTTCTGCTATACTGACTCCTTAAAACTATTTCAAAATTAATTTTATTACATCTCAAGTAAATGTTGTGAGAAAAAAAAACCTCAGTAGTGAGATTTTTTTTCCGAAACTGATTTAGCTTAACTGAAATTATCATTCCTTGTCATTCAGTCTGACTTAAATACAGATAAAATAGCATCAATAGCACATTAAAATACAGTGAACTGTGTAGAGAAACTGAAAAAAGGTACCTTAATGTTGCGGACATTACGTAATTTCCGCAACACAAATTCAATGTCTATTTTCTTAGGAAAGTGCCAGTAGCTGGATATAATAATTTATGGCCTAATGATAGTGCAAGGCAGAGGTTATACACACATACTTTTATGTTTATTGTCATGCTTTCTTAGATGTAAAAACTTTGTTTAAAATTTCCTTCCAAAAGTTCCAAATATGATGAGATTCAAATTCTCTAGATTTCATGCCTTCTCACATTAAGCGGATGGATAAGATGCTCAAGACCTCAGTAATTTCAAACACCCCATTGTCTCAACTTATTGTTGGTATAAGTTTTATTGCGCAAAATTTTATTTTAAAAAATTCAAAATTTCATTGTCTCGCGTGGAATTGCCCTATGTGAAATTTATGTCATATAAATTTTGAACCTATGGAGAAACATTTAACACGTGAACGATCAAATATGCGGTTTTGTAATACAGAAACTTAAGCAATTGTGAAAAAACCCTGAAAGCTCACAAAAAATCAACGCTTGAACGGGATTCGAGAGTGTTATTCTTAATCGTAGACTGTAGTAGAGCCACGGTTTACGTTTTCATGTACATAAAACTCAAGCTAGCTTACTTGATGTTGATAACTTTAGTCATATTCAGAGTGTGTGTTTATCTTCCTTGTTTATAAATTAAATTCCCACACTCGATT